AAAGAAACTCTCGTTAAATGCCAAAGCATTAAACGTTCTATTTTGTGCCTTGGGTCAAGACGAGTTTTCTAGGGTAAGCTCTTGTAGATCCGTTAAGGAAGCTTGGGATCTCTTAGAAGCCACTCATGAGGGAGACAAAGACACCAAAGCTACCAAAATAGCTTTAGGAACATCGGAATATGAGAACTTCAAAATGAAGACCGGAGAATCAGTGCAAGACATGAACACAAGATTCAACCTCATCATCAACAACTTGAGTAAGCTTAACAAAATTTATCCCAAAAGTGAGATTAATACTAAAATCATTTTTTCATTACCTAAAGAATGGCATAGTCTTGTTGTGAATTTACTACCCAAATGTGCAGATGTTGAAACTTCCACCATTTGGAGTAGTCTTTACTCTCACGAACTTCTCTTGAGAAAAATGAAGGAAGATGAACAAGCACCTATAGTGAAGAAAACCATGGCTCTCAAGGTTGATGACAAATCGGAAAGTGAAGGAGAAAACGATGAAGAACTCACCATGTTCAAAAGATACAAGAAATTCATAAAATGGAACAAAGGCGAATCATCAAGGAGATTTCCACCGAAGAAAGGCAAAACTAACCAAATTACTTGCTATGAATGTGAAAATATAGGACATATCAAACCCGAATGTCCTTAACTCAAAAAGAAGGAGGATCTCAAAAAGGGGAAAAAGAAGGCATTAAAAGTCACTTGGGAAAAGTGAAAGTGACCAAATCCAAGAGGAAAATGCCAATGCTTGCTTCATGGCTTCCAATGATGAAGAAAAGGTTAGTTCCCAAAACTCTTTTACTTCTTTTGAAAGTAAATTTACTTTTGAAGAACTAAGGCAAGCAATTGATGAATTCCAAGAGGACCTTTTTCGAACTATTAGGGAGAAAAGGGAACTCAAAGTGGCTCTTGAAACTTCTCGATATGAAAACAAAGATTTAAAACTAAATCTTGAGAAGCTTCAAAACCAAAATGAAGAATTTCAAAAGAAAATTGAGATTTTAATTAAAGAAAAGGACAAAGCCAAACGAGGGGCTTTAGAAATGTTTTATAATAGCTACAACTCAACAAAAGAATGGGATAACCAACCAAAACTAACGAAAGAAGGTATTGGTTATGGTCAACCCATGAATTTGATGAGCATGGCCAAAAATCACTTTAATACTTCAAAGAATATTCCATCAAACCAAGCCTCAAATTCTAAATCAAAAGTAAAAGCTTGCCATTACTGCATGAAAACTAATCACATTGTGACAAATTGTCGCAATAAGAGTTTAGTTGAAATGCGTAAATTAAAATGGGTCAAGAAGGGTTCTAACCAGTCAGAATCCAAGAATATTGGATATCAAAAGAAATTCTTTTTGCAGGAAAATAAAAGAAATGATGGTGGCTACTATTTATTTTATTATGATGAAAAACGAAAAGTCCATATACCACTCCCTGAACCGACCAAGATAGAACTCATCTACCGACACCGAGTGTATGTCGATTGGAACCCAAAACCTAAGTCAAAAATTAAATCCATTTTGACTAGGTGAAAAACACCACTTGGATAGTTGATAGTGGGTGCTCAAGGCATATGACCGGGACAAGAATGTGGTTCACAAACATCAAAGAGAAAAGCCATGGACACGTAACCCTTGGAGACAAGTCTCGAAAGAAAGTCATTGGCAAAGGTACGATTTGTATTTCAAGTGATTTTTCAATAAATGATATTTATCTTGTTGATGGCGTAAAATTTAATTTAATTAGCATAAGCCAACTTTGTGACAATGGCCACAAAATTGAGTTTAATGCAAATTCCTTCGTTTTGTATGGCCAAAACAAGGATGAAATCATTTTTGAGGCTAAAAGAGATGGAAAATTATATAAGTTTAATTCCAACGACTTAAGCAACTCAAAAATCACTTATCTTACCACTTCACTTGAATTTTCAACTCTATGGCATCGTAGATTAGGACATGTTAGTTATGATCTTTTGAAAAAACTTTATTCAAAAGAACTTGTTGTGGGGCTTCCTAAGATGAGCATTCCTACTTCTCGTTTTTGTGATGCATGCTCTCTTGGGAAACAACACAGAGTATAATTCAAACCCATAAAAATGGTTTTAATGTCAAGGCCACTTGAACTATTACACATGGATTTATTTGGGCCCGTAGACAATCAAAGCCTAGAAGGAGCTAGTTTTACATTTGTGATTGTAGATGACTTTTCTCGTTACACTTGGACTATATTACTTGCCAATAAAGATGATTCGTTAATGCGTTTGTTAAGTTGTGCAAGAGAATTCCAAACGAGAAAGGGTATGAAATAACCTCTATTAAAAGTGATAGAGGAGGAGAATACTAGAATACCGAGTTTGAAACATATTGTGATGAACACGGTATCTCTCATAACTTCTCGGCCCCTAGAACGCCTCAACAAAATGTAGTCGTTGAAAGGAAGAATAGGACGCTGCAAGAAATGTCAAGGACCATGTTGAATGAACACAACTTACCTCATTATTTTTGGGGAGAAGCGGTCAACACAACATGCTACGTTCTTAACCGGGTATTACTTAGACTTATTATTAAAAAGACTCCTTACAAACTTTGGAAAGGTAAAAAACCAAACATTTCCTATTTCAAAGTCTTTGGATGTAAATGCTATATTTTAAATACTAAGGATCATTTAGGTAAATTTGAGCCTAAATCAAATGAAGGAATTTTTCTTGGATATTCAACAAATAGTAGAGTCTATAGGGTATATAACAAATCAAATCATAAAGTAGAAGAATCTATGCATGTAAAATTTGATGAAACCGATCCCTTTGGGTCGAGTAAGGTAAGTGCAGGTTCAAATGAAGAAGAAGAGGAAGAAGAAGTCCTAGAAACTCCAGTTCAAGAAGAAGAAAAGGAGAAAAATGAACTTCCAAAAGCATACAAGCATTTGAAGAATCATCCGAGACACAATATCATCGGAGATATTGAAAAGGGAGTTAGAACTAGGAATAATTACAATCTTTGTGCATATTATGCGTTTGTTAGTCAATTTGAACCTAAAAACATAGAAGATGCATTAAAAGATAGTGATTGGATTATTTCCATGCAACTAGAGCTAAAGCAATTCGAACGCAACAAGGTTTGGGAATTAGTCGAAAGACCAACAAACCGACCTGTTGTGGGCACCAAATGGGTCTTTAGAAACAAGCTTGACGAAAATGGTGCTATTGTCACCAATAAAAGTCGACTTGTTGCTAAAGGCTATATCCAAGTTGAAGGACTTGACTACGATGAAACTTTTGCTCCGGTTGCTAGGCTTGAATCAATTCGTATGTTATTAGCTTTTGCAAGTGCTCTTAACTTAAAACTTTTTCAAATGGATGTTAAAAGTGCTTTTCTTAATGGATGGTTATTAAAAGAAGAAGTTTACGTTGAACCACCCCCCAGTTTTGAAAATCTTGATTTTCCAAATCATGTTTTTAAACTACATAAGGCTCTTTATGGACTCAAACAAGTTCCTAGAGCTTGGTATGAGAGGCTTATCGAACATCTCATCTCTCATGGATTTGCAAAAGGAAAGATCGATTCCACACTCTTTGTTAAAACAAAAGGAAAAGATCTTATCGTAGTGCAAATTTATGTTGATGATATTATTTTTGGGTCAACTAATGAAGCCTTATGTAATGAATTTTTAGGAATTATGACAAGCGAATTTGAAATGAGTATGATGGGTGAATTAAATTTCTTCCTAGGACTTCAAATCAAGCAACTTGAAGATGGCATCTTCATTAGCCAAACCAAGTATGCAAAAGAGCTTGTCAAGAAATTTAACCTTGAAGATTCAAAAACATTCCCAACTCCAATGAGCACATCCTTAAAGCTCGATAGCGATGAAAGCGGAAAATCGGTAAGTGAAAAGCAATATCGAGGTATGATAGGTAGTTTGCTTTACTTAACTGCATCTAGACCCGACATCATGTTTTCCGTTTGCCTTTGTGCTCGTTTCCAATCATCACCTAAAGAATCACATCTACATGCCGTCAAGCGAATAATTCGTTATGTCAAAGGAACTAGCAATATGGGTTTAGGGTATCCCAAGAATACAAATTTAAGCTTGATAGGTTTTAGTGATACTGACTTTGGCGGGTATCGTATTGATCGGAAAAGCACAAATGGCACATGTCAATTTATAGGTCATGCGCTAGTGTCTTGGTCATCCAAGAAGCAACATTTCGTCGCCCTATCCACCGCCGAAGTGGAATGCGTGGCTATGGGTAGTTGTGTTGCTCAAATATTAGGGATGATGCAAACACTTGGTGACTTCAACCTAAAATTTTCAAAAGTGCCCATCTTTTGTGATAACATTAGTGCAATAAATATTTCAAAAAATCCTGTGTTGCACTCTAAAACAAAACATATAGAAATAAGACATCATTTCATTCGTGATCATGTTGCAAAAGGATGAAAACAATTTATACATATTTGTCGAGAAATGGGAATGCTTGAATTAAAATGATTTAAAGGTTCCCTTTATACTCATACTATGTTTTGAAAATTAAATTGCTTATAGCATATTGCTCAAAGTCCACGGAAAAAGGCAACGGTCGAAAAGGTAAGTGAGACGGGATCTAAATTGGTACATCAGGCCCTACACAGTAGCCCCTACCGTTGGAAATGGTAGTAGGTACCGTCCGAAAGAAGGAGGCTTAGGCAGCATCCGGGACCCTGTACCGTTCGCCCTCCTCAGGTACCGACCGGAAGAGAGGGTGCTCAGGTACTTAGCGCATGATCCAGGACCCTGTACCGCCAGACTCACTCAGGAACCGACTGAAAGAACTCCAGCACAACCCATTTACCTCTATTCTGGTACGGGCTACCGCTACACCTGTGTAGGTACCGACCGTCTCTTCGCAGGTACAGGCTCATCTCCCTTGTTACGGTACCCACTACCATTACCGGTTAGTAGGTACCGACTGTCTCATCAAGTAATATAAAACCCTACCTCTCCTATCCGGTCGCCACTTTCACAAATCCAACCTCCCTCTCCCGTCTGCGTCTCTCCAAGCCGACTGCCATCAAGGTACTTCTCTCTCATTTTTCTCTTCAATTTCTTCCATTTTCTTCTAAATTTCCCTCAATTCTCCCTCCACACTCCTCAAAACTTAATCTTTCCAAGCCGAATCATGTCGGATATGGAAATTGTCCCTATTGAAAACCCTAACCCCAACCTCATCCTAAATGCCTATACACACGCTAATGTCATTGAGGGACGTGTTCTTAAGCATGAGGACTACCCGGATGCCGTTCTTGCTCTAGTAGATGAGCAAGGTTGGACCGAATTTCTCCAACTTGAAGCACCGGTCTACCCAGACTTGGTGGTCGAGTTCTATGATTCTCTTCAATATGCCTGCAAATCAAACGTCATCTTGTCAAAAGTTGTGGGTGTTGGTGTTAGCATATCCGTTCAAAACCTCGCCGATTGGTTCCGTCTCCCTCTTGAAGGTCTAACCACCTATACCAAGAAGGGATGGATGGCCGAGTTCGACTCCTTTTCCGTTGACGAGTGCCTCACACTTCTAAACACCAATCCTAAAGCTGGAGATACTTCCCTTCGCCGTCCGGAAGTTCAAGGCCTAACGGCAAATAACTTCATTCTTCTAAAAATCAGTCGAGAAAACTTAGTTCTAGTCGTCAATAAAGACAAACTTGTTGGAATGCTTCTCCTCTACTATATTCTCACTCACCGCCGCATAAGTCTTCCACACTTCATCAATCAACACTTATTCGAAGCATCGGGCAACCTCAATCGTCCTTATGGGATGCTTCTCACTCACATCTTTGCAAAACACGGGATTCTTGAGCTAAGCCCCTCCCGGTTTCGATATCTTGATGCCGAATGCCTTGGGTATTTCGGCCTTGTGAAGATAGGAGCCACATACTATATGAAGCGCAAGTTTGAGCGCCTAGATGATGCCACCCGTGCCCGCTTTGGACCCCGACGCTCTACATCCTCCGTATCACGCCGTGGGTCAAGCTCCACAAATCCTCAAGGAGACGAGAACGAACCGGAAAATGGTCCACCCACAACCCGACTCAAACGCTCAAGGACAACGGCTAGGGGTACCTCCTCGTCCACCCAAGACTCATCAGAGAACTCCGTTATTAAAGAGTCATTCAACAAGCTCAAGGACTTCATCAAAAATAAAGTGGTGAATCTCTCAAGCGTTTGCATGAACAGATGGATAGCTTTGATGCCCGCGTCACTAGATTAGAGGACGCCAAAAACCGCTCCAAAGCCAAAAGTGATCGTGCCTCTCTCCGTGGAAAGCAAGCTTTGGGCAAAAGCAAAAAATGATCAAACATTTTCAATGTTTTATGAATGCTTATGTTAAAACTCAGTTTTTTATCATGCGCACCTTTGATTGATGATGATATTCAATTTTTTATGGTGATCTTGGGTTGAATATTGATGTTATAGTGGTTAATTATTGTTGAAATTATTAATCTTTTTTGAAACATTGTTGAATATTGCTTCCTCCCTTGATTGGTTATTTATTACTTGCATCCCTTGAATATCCTCCCCAACTTTTTGAATGTTTCCAAAAGGGGGAGAAGTAGTTGGCTTTCTAAAAATGCATATTTTCAGGGGGAGTTTGTTTCCTTTAAATACCTTAATGCATGAACTTAGGGGGAGTGTTTCAAATTGGTTTAAACTCAACATACTTGAGTGCATATGTTTACATTGTTTATCATGTTTTGAAAGCCTTATTTGTCAACATCAAAAAGGGGGAGATTGTTGGCCTTGAATGCCGAAACTCACCATGTTTTGATGTGCTAAATAAGTCTTCCAAGTACTAACCTTTTGCATGCTTAAACGAGACACCCGAACTTCTCCTAACTTGGTTGATTTCACCAAGGATTGATTCACTCGAGTTTAGATTTGAAAAATGTAAGAGCTTGATAAAATGATGTTACACTTATGCCCTTGCACTTAAAAACATTTTCCAAAAAGTTCTAAATATTGCTTTGATTGGGTCATTTTTCAAAATCGGGAATAAAATCAATTTTGGGTTAGAACCAGACCAAACGGTACCCCATACCGTGCTAATGGTACCTAGCTACCGTTAGACTTATCGGTACAGCAGGTAGGTACCGCCCGGCCAAATTTGGCTAAGTATCAAAAGGACTCAAACGGTACCCCCTACCGTAACCCTGGGTAGGTACCGACCGTTTGAACTCTAGCTCAGGTCAGAACCCACTATAGCGGTACCCCCTACCATAACCTTATGTAGGTACCGACCGTTTGAACTCTAGCTCAGGTCAAAACTCACTATAACAATACCTCCTACCGTTGTAACGGTACCCTGGTACCGCCTGAGGCTTAAGAAACTCAAGTTTGAACTTCCAAACGGGACCTGTCATGGTACCCTATACCATCAGTAATGGTACCCCCTATCGTTACAGTACCTGACTACCGTTACAGGTACCGGAGCCGTTGGGTTACTGTTCCTGATTGATCTAATTAATCCCAATCAACCTAATTTATCTCCCAGCATCTCTTTAACTATTCAAACCCATTTTAAACTTTCTAAACACTATAAATACACCTCCTAGCCTCTCCTAAACACACAACAACACCCTTCAACATACATTACATTCTATAATCTCATTATTGATCATTTGTGTGTTCTAAGCTTTAAAGTTCCTGATTTTTTCTTCTCTTTTGAAGTTAAAGCTTTGATATTTATATTTTTAACACAGACACACCAAGGGCTTTTGTGTTTCATCTTCTTATCTTGCTTATAGGCAATTGTTGTTGTTTTTATATCTTGTTCTTCTCTTACCCAATCACATTATATATTACTTTGGTAGAGAAGCAACAAACTCTTTTCTTTACTTTGTAAAAGGTGTGGATAGCCTTTAAATCCTCATTGTAAGGTTGAAGATAGCCTCTAAATCTTCGGTTATAAACGGTTGAGATAGCCGATATAAAATCTCATTTGCTTATTGGCAAGGGTTGTTTGCCAAACCTCGTTTGGGTCTTCTTAGTGAAGCCAAACAAGTTAGTGGAGGTTAAATCTTTGAGGAGGAGCCTCAAGGTACTGGAGTAGGGAGTTCCCGAACCAGTATAAAATCGATTGTGTCGTACTTTTCTCTTTTATATTTTTCTTGCTCTTTTTCCGCTACTACTTTGCGCTTAAGTTTTTGTTTTTACGAAAAACTTTCAAACACCCTAATTCACCCCCCACTTAGGGTGTAAACCGACTTTCATTAACGCCCAACCCAATCTCAGGATGAAGGGGAATGCAGGGGTAGCAGCAGCTTGTGTAGAGACCAAAATATTGAAGAGATCTAACAGAAACTACTCAAAGATCGATCTAGGCTAATCCGTTCTGTGTGATTTTATATAATTTTATATGAAAAAGTTTTAAAATGTAATTCCCGTAAGATTTAATATTTACATGCAACTCCATGCAATTCCATGTAATCATATGTATCCACCACAAAATTAATAATAATATTAATAATATATTCTATTCCATGAAATCATATGTATCCACCACAAAATTAGTCATATTCCCTACAATTTTATTAACAATATATGTATTTACCACAAAATTTATTTTTTTGTTTCTACAATGGTACTCCTTGCATATGTCGCAAGCAACTTCTAAACGCATGTTGGTCATCTTGTCTTTTGTCATCTTCTCCAAAGGTTTAAAATCTTTATGTTATGCTCCCAACTCTAACATTTTTACCGCGAAGATGTCGCAGTCGCTATTTACCAGTTGGGGTACTTGGCATAATTCGAAATCCCACTTTGGCTTTTGAATGAACTCGTGCTTGCCAATCTCTCTACAGCTGGAAATGCCTGGAAACCCCACAAGATCATCACCCAGATTACGACGCATATCATCAATCGTAGAGAGCCGAGTAAGTGAGTTAAGCACGACGAGGCAGCCCCTCTCAAAGTCAGCCTTGACACAGAACCAATGTGTACCCGTGCCTTTCAAATAATACATGTACTTAGTGTTCTTGTCCCAGAATTTGGTTTTAAATGCTTCCGGCCCCTCGCTGTATGTACCATCAACAATCTGTTCAAGGGATCCAGACAAAACAGGCCAATATGGGTCATGCGCATAAGAGCCCAAGTAGTGGGTGAATTCTAAAGGTGCAATGACCGAGTCTCCATCGTCATTACATAAGCATCTTCTTAGGATGTAAAGGTACTCATCCAGATGCTAGTTAACAAACAAAAATATGTTATTAGAAAATGAAACACTTAAGCATTGTTTTTGTACGAAGAATGAAAGGTTAATGCAACTTACAGAATCAACTTACAGAACCCGCTATCCAAGTATTCATAAAGGCCTCATGTCCCTTGTGCTGTTGGAGGTAGCAATCTACATAGAGGTCAGCTTTAATTGCTTCTACGATGATGCTCTTAAATTCCAAAAGATCTCCTTTACTTGGCAGCTTAAGGGTTTATCAGCTTTCTTTTTCTTCCTCCCGTCTGCTGTATATGGAGACTTCAAACTGGCTGACTTATTTTTAAATCTCTCACCCTAACATAAAAAATTAGTTTATTCGAATGCATTTCGAAAGTTTCGACTCGAATTCGAAAGCACTGGAAATAAGATATCAAACCTTTCTATGCACATGAGCATCAATAATCTCAACATCGGTTCCCAATTCCTTCTAGGGAGAAACAACCTAGAGTCAAGTTCTAAAAGTATTTTATTAAATGGAGTCCAACCTATATTAAATTTTCAAAAAAAAATTCTTAAATAGAGTGCAAAAAAACAACCTATGTGGTTAGAACATGTTCTAAAAGACAAAATTAATGAATTCGAAATACTTCAAATATATCGACTGCTTTTCGAATGCATGAAAATTAGAATTTTACCTTTTCCTGCACAAGGGGTTCCAAAGGTTTCATTGAAGCAGCAGCGTCTGTTCCCATTGTCTCATGGGTAGACTCAGCCTACAGACAAGTACAAATATATGTGGTTAAAATATGTTCTAAAAGAAAAAATTAATGAATTTGAAATACTTCGAATATATCGACTGCTTTTCAAATGCATGAAAATTAGAATTTTACTTTTTCCTGCACAAGGGGTTCCAAAGGTTTCATTGAAGCAGCAGCATCTGTTCCCATTGTCTAATGGGTAGACTCAACCTACAGAAAGGTACAAAAAGTATGGAGTCCAAAAATATGTGGTTAGAACATGTTCTGAAAGACGAAATTGATGAATTCGAATGCTTAGAATATATTCGACTGTTTTTCGAATGCAATGTAAATTAGAATTTAGACCTTTACCATTTTGTTCTCCAAACTTAAAACAGTATCCGAAAGAGTTAAAAGTGGATTCTCGTTTTCATTTTCTTGATTTATTTCCCCAGCAATTTGGAGAATATCGAGACTTGGAGCAACCTGTAGAGTATGAAGTATGAAATGATTTTCAGATTTCATTTGACATTTAATAAAACAAAATGAAATGACTACATTAAACCCTAAACCTTATCAAATGGTGAAGGATTGAGTGCCTCAGTCTCTTTAGAATCATCCATGATTGTCATCGCTAGCACCTGAAAGTGCAAAGATCTTACAGAGTTAAAACTAAACAAAACATTTTGACTATATTCGAGAATATTTCGACAAGAAACATTCATTATGATGTTATTCGACTACGTTTCAAATGCATTTGAGACTATTTCGACTTACCTCCAGCGAAGTCTTTATTGGTTCTTCGGCTGATTCTAGTACATTAACCTTCATATTTTTACATAAAGAAGATCAGTTGTGATCAATTTAATTATTCGATGACCTTTCAAAAGCTTCGACATACCTTATTCACAATCTTTTGATTTATTAAAGTTGACAAAACTTCAACTTTTTTTCCAGCACTTCAAACCTCTTTCGTTGTTCTTCTGCAATGTCATCCATTTTCTTTGACATTTGCTCAAAGAGTTCTTGAAAGGAATTGGATGAAGGCTTCGTGCGGTAAGGGGTAGGAGACGATGGAGCTGGGATGTTGGAATGGGAGACTCTAGAAGGAGATTCCCTAAGGCTCTGAGATGCTTGGGGAGAGGAGAAGATGTGCTCATTTCGCTCTACAGAATTATCTCTAGTTGGTGAAGGGATATTCCAGGCTTTTCTCTTTCTCTCCACCGGAATGTGGACATCCCCTCTACCCTCTAACTTTGCCACAAATTCATCCAACTCAGTGTGTGATGTGGTCTCTAGAGGATGGATGTTCAAAAACCACTCTGTAGTAGCTTCAAACCTATCGGGAACAAGAATGCTCTGTAGAGCCTGCAACCAAAACAATGACACTTTATTTTGGGAATTCCTTAAACTTTTAATCTTTATTGACTTATAATATGTATATACTTGCAGGTTCCTAACGTAAGCATCCATTTCTGTGTGGGTGATTTTCTTCTTTATTGGAATTTCACCCCAAAGGCAGATTCTTGGTCTAGCTGGGGATGTTTGTTGCGTTCTTGTTGTAATATTTATTTCAATCCCTAAGCAACTCTCCAGAAAAAGGATCTTTTCATATTAGAAAAATTATAATTGAAAAATTCCTTACCCCAATGGGAAGCAGGAAACTAGTATAGTACATGGTTGATGAAGCCCCACTTCCAATTGATTTGGCCTTAGCAGCTAGGTCTTTCTTCAGTGACCCCAAAGACTCCATAAATGCCCAGGTTCCCAAGTGGAAATCTAAAATTGCTGACCACTGTCCAATCATGCCCAGAATCCAATTTGGAATCGCAGACTTGTCACGATCAGCAAGACCCAAGAGAACAACAACAACAAACAATAGTGTGGCCATTTTCACAGCCTCCATCTCTTGGCGTTCATTCTTCTTTTCCCCGTCCAAGCCTTTACATATGTCCAAGAAACACTGCACAACCATCTTATATGTGATTGCAGCAAATTTCTTTCCCTCCTTTGCAGAAGGAAAGTGAGCTTGAATGAAATCATTCTTGGCAGAGGTTAATTCCATTGAATTTTCAAAGCCGGTGTTAAGCTGAGAGCAATTCAGACCGCTTATGAGTGAAAACTCCCTCAAGGAGTACCTAACAGGAACTCCTTTGACAACAAACCACATCTCTCTTTGCCTCTTTATTTTGGCTTCCCTCGCAATGAGTTGCCATAGGAACAAAGGAGGAGGAATACACTCAACATCCAAAAAATGTGAAAAGGGGTATTCTTCTTAAACAAAGTAAAGACTTCTGAATCATCTACAAGTCCATCACTCATCAGATTCTGGAACTCTCTGTTAAGTTACAAAATATCATATTTTAGTCTCTCACTTTTTAGCATTTTTAATATGATTTATGTGCATTTTATACCTAAATAATTACATTTTGTTCTATTTAGCATTTTAGGCTATTATTTACATTTTATACATAAAATGCATGATTTTGAGCATATTTATATTTGACAATTATTTTGGAAATAGTATTTTCATTGACAAATAATTTTAGATATATTTTAGAATCCAAAGAGTTGAAGAAGATGTCAAAGTTGGGCACTACAACCAAAGAATAAAGTTGGGCCAAGCCCAAATTAGGACTTGACCCATTCATCCAATTAACCCGTAATGTGCTAAAAAAAATACTACCTCCGTCACAGAGTATTTGTCCACTTTCATTTTTACACACCATTCAATACACTTCTTTAATTCATTTTATCTTGTAATTTGTATATTAAAAAATTATAGAAATTATATATTAATAATCTATATATTAAGACAAATAGATCACACATAACTATATTTAGACAAATAGTTTGATGAGTACTTATAGAAAAAAGACGGAAGATGGGCGAGAGGGAGAGCATATCGGAAAGCAGTGCAAGAAGACTCCAATTCAAACTTGAGACCTGAGAGGGAAATTTGAATTCGCAGCCATATAAACGCACGACGCAGGAGAGAGGGGAGATAGGGACGAGAGAGCGAGAGCCGGCCTAGGGTTCGACCCTAGGCCCGGCAGTCTGATGGCGACAATTCCGGCAAGGCGGCGACGATTGGATCCCGGCGAAAATGGGTGGAGCAGTTCAAGGACGGCAGCAACTTGAGTACTCGTGCGTCACGGCTCTGGTTCTGGCGCAGCGGCAAATTAAGACAGCAACAGGGGAGAAACTTTATTCTTTTTAATTTCATTACTTTTAATTAGACAACCTTAGTTATAAAGTTCTCAATTTATGACTTTGATTGTCCAATACTTAATACTCTGTATTTGTTTGTGTTCAATATCTATTCATTCTTATTAAATGTTTAAGTGATATTATAAGTGATGATTTGTTTGTGTGTTGTGGTTGAATTGTTCAAATTTGATTTATTGATTGATTATTGTCTCTGGAAATATGAAACCTTCATAGACCGAATTGTTTGATAAAAAAGATTGAATCTTTGATTTGGTTGTTTTTGTTGGATTAATTTGACTTTGAAGGAATTTTAGCTCTATGCTACTGTTAAATCTAAACTCGAATAAGGGGCTGTTTGGCAACTTCTGAATGGGTAAGTGCTGAACCAGTAAGAGGTCTGAACCATTAAGTGCTGAACCAGTAAGAGGTCTGAACCATTAAGAGCTAGTATATTGCTTAACTATTCAGAGGCAAATGTCTGATCAATTCAGATAAGAGGTCTTAACCATTCAGACTCTGTATAATACTTAACCATTCAGAGGAAAATCTCTTAACCATTCAGACATCTGAACCATTAAGAGGCTGAAACAAACAGTCTGAACCATTAAGTGCTGAACCATTCAGACATCTGAACCATTAAGAGGCTGAAACAAACAGCCCCTAAGTGTTTGAAAACTGGTCTTCGTTTAAACTTGGATTAGATCAATTTAGGACGGCCGCCTAAACTCTAATTCTAATTGACAGTTTTAAGATCTTGAGTATTTTTAAAACACAAGTGTCACCTGGTTAATACTTAATCGGCTCCCACCCAATTTTTATTAATCAGAGTTTTCAAGCTGGCTATGTTAAATAGATATAGTCTACTGCATAGTTGTTACGTGATGTTTTCCAAAGAACTTAATGCTTTATTTTTAATTAAATCGGGGGGCAGGTCCTTGGGTTGTTAAGAATAGTAGGGTCTAGAGTTAGGGCAGATCTTAACATAGACTATATTAGGGAAAATAGGGAAGAACCGCAGGTGGATCTCTTCTTCAGCTTGACCCTGAGTTTAATTAGCAGTTTAGTTTCAGAATTAAGACATAATTAATTGATTAATTAGATTTATTCAGTTTATTTTCTATTAAAAACTATAAGTATTTTCAAAAATGGTTTAAGTTAATTATTATTGTCTACGTGTTATAAAGTTTATTGTGTGATTGTTTTTATGTGTTGTTTGTGTACTCGTTTTCCCCCATGAGTTTACTTCTGGGTTCTGCTTGCTGCTGTGGTTCCATCTCGTATCTCTTATCTGTTATCTTTATCTTTATTTTATTTACATTTCTATCTTTTTAAAATCATCATTCAAACCCCCCATATCTTTTAGATTTAGTTATTTAGTTTTAGTTAGTTGTTTTTATTCAATAAAAGTGACAAAGTAAATTGATTTTCATAGCTAAAAAGTATCTTTCCTCGTGGGATCGACCCTTACTTGCCTTATCTATATGTTTTAATGAATTTTAATTCATAAAGGGGGTTAAGAGTTAAGGAAAATAATAAATTAATTTGTAGGTGCTACGACACGCCTAACACTCTCCCAAAGAAGATTTCAAAGTTAACTTCATCCCAGGTAATTTCTCCATTTCAATGGTGTGATCCAACGCTGGAACCTAAAATAAAAACGAGAGCTAATAGAAAAACAGATTCGACTGCATTCGACTATAACCTATTACTGTAACATTATATTGATGATTATCATGGTCGAATAACTTGTTCTGCTTCCGAATTTTTCAAACACAAACAAAATAAACTTAAAATATTATATTTTAGTGTACATGCAATGCACCTCAATTTCGAAAGCCTCTGGGAATGATTCACCTTCCACAGATGGAGTTACATCAGCAAAAATCTGACACCAAGCCCAAATAGTTCAAAATAAAACCAAAATTAGTTAATTTTAAGTGAGGATTATCTGAAAATACCTGGTTTGCATTATCCATCTCCTCCCTCCGTGTTTGGGTGAGAGTTATTCTTCTCTTGTACTGGAACATGCAACTTGCTCCGGTGTTCTCCATGGCAAACAAATATGTGGTAGTAATTGAAGGTATCCGACGGCGATATGCAAAGGAGAACGAAGAGTAGAACAGTTTCGATTGGAGAAGGCGTATCGTTTCCGAAGACTAGTCGGGGGGTTAAGGAGTGGTTGGCGCTTCAAACGACGCCGTTTGGCCTTTTCGAAAATCATCGTGATGCTTCGAAGGCAACCTAACGGCTGGTCGTTAATTTTAATATTTCCATTAAAGTTTTGAAGTAACGGTCATAAAAGTGACATTTTGTTTTTTGGTTGGAAGGCCTTCTGTCATTTCCTCTCATTTCAAGCGAAGTAGAGCGGATGCGCCTCACACAAATCTGTGTTAAATCTAGGAGGCATTCTCATAAATTCCAATTTTTCTGCCCTTTTCCATAAATTCTTCTATCTAGCTCTTGGGCTCTTTTACGTTCGTTGAAAGGCCAATCTCCCTTGCCGTGGGTGGTCATTGACTCATTGCTCTTGGGCTCTTTTTTATCTATCTTCCGATCGGAAGGAGCAAGGGGTTCAGAACTTTATCATCTTTTTCAGCCGAAGGTGACGTTGGTCCAAAATGAAGCGCTCCATAGTAAAGAAGTCAAGTCAGCAGTTTTTGCTATGCACCCAGATAAGTCCTCAGGTCCAGATGAGATGAATCCAGCCTTCTTTCAGAAGGTGTGGGATGTGGTGGCCTGGTGGGTTTTGATGTTACACAGTTTGTTCTCTCATGCTTCAATGATGGTGTGTTCCCAGAGGCCATGAACGATGCTAGCATTGTCCTGATCTTGGAGAAAAACTCACCTGAGACTGTTACAGATTTACGTCCTATTGCCCTTCGCAACATTATTTATAATATTGTGGCGAAGATTCTGGGTAATAGGATGAAACCTCTTCTTTAAATGATTATCTCTGATATGCAGTCAGCTTTTCTTCATGGTAGACTCATTTCAGATGACATTCTATTGGCGGCGGAGTTGAGTAATTTCCTTCGACGAAAGCAAACAGGGCACCAAGGTTGGGTGGGATTTAAATTGGATAGGGCGAAAGCTTATGAACCGTATGGAGTGGGACTTTCTGTGGTGTATGATGTAGTTTGGGGTTTGCTGAACGGTGGGTAAATCTGGTTGTGCTCTGTGTCACTACCAGATGTCGGGTGCTGGTTAATGGCAACCTGTCTGATGTTATTCTACCCACACGTGGAGGAGGCCTTTGTGTTTCAGAGTTGTATTGCCTAATACGAGCAGATTTCTGGGTAGGCTGTAAATTTTCTTAAGTCTAGCATCTTCTTTAGTACGAATACCCCGATTGAGGTGCGGGGAGCCTTTACACATTTCTTTGGAGTACTCCGGCAGTCCGGCGGATAATTTTGGTAAGTACCTTGGTTTACCTTCTTTTTAAGGAAAGCATAAGACTTCGGTTTTTACTTACATTCTTGATAAGATCCGTCATCGTATTGGGGTTGGAGTATAAAGCTATTGTCTAAAGCAGGAAAAGAGATTTTACTCAAGACTGTGGCTCAGTTTATGCCACAATTTTTAATGAGTGTGTTTTTGCTACCCAAGTCTTATGTGTTCTAACATCGAACGACTAATAAATGCGTTTTGGTGGCATGGTAAAGGAAGTTTGGATAAGGCTATCCATTGGCTTTCTTGGAAGCATATGGCAGAACCTAAGACGTTTGGGGGCATTGGTTTCAAGCACCTTCACAGTTTCAATATTGCTATGTTGGGTATGCAAGGCTGCCGATTTTTCACTACCGGATGCATTGGTGTCTCGTGTTTTCAAAGTGAGGTATTTTTCAACTACTTTTCTAGAGGCTAAGTTGGAGGGCACCCCTAGTTATTGTTGGCGAAGTATTTTGGCCGCCCAAGCCCTGACTAAAGCAGGAGCTCGACGTAGAATTGGCAATGGTTTTGACACTCTTGTTTGGGGTAGCCCTTGGCTTCTGGATGCTGCTGATCCACGGGCGTGCTTGGATTCATCTTCTCATTGGCCTAACTTTCCTATTGCTTTTCTTATTAACAGTGAAAGTGGTTACTGGGGCTTGCAGCTACTGCACCAGCTTTTTAGCCAAAGGGACATTGACAGTGATTGCTACAGATGGGACCATTCTTAGAAAAATATGTTGCTTCTTTCCATACAAAGATTCTTGGAGAGTGTGGTGAAGGGATATCACTGTATCAGTTATTCTGGAGTCTGGAGATGTAGACATTGGTTGGCAGAAGTGAAAATAATCTTGCAAATGCCGTGGCTCTGTGTGTGTGTGGGTCCTTGGATCCTGAGCAGACTGGAATGAAGGTGGAAACAATGTTTGGACAACTTGGATCTAAAGAGCATTCATTGCAAAACTTTTAAGGTTGATATGTAGAAACTTAGTTCAAGTAATCAAGCTGGAGAAGGCAGATGTATGTGAAATTTTCATGAAGGGAAAATGTGGAATATGAATATTTATTGTCATCTTTCTTGCTTATTCGATCTGAGAATTAGAGGGTTGATTAATTAGTACTAGTAACATTTTGAGAGAAGTCCTGACTAGTTACTCCCAAATTTGTTACTGATAATTTATGTAAATAAAATCTTATAATGGTTTATGCTGTATACAAGGCAGACTAAATACGTATTTCATTGGTACTCCCAAAGTAAATCAACATGCTTTATTTCTCACTTTGGTCTTTTGGCATATTATTATAACCTGCCATCTTAAATAGTATCTATCTCAGTGGTTGAGCTCCTCCTGGGAATTCCTTCTGCAGCTGGACCAATATTCAGCAACCAGTTTTGAGAATGAAGAATTTATTCCCATAAGCTTTGAAGGCTCATCATATTCAACAAGCTTCCCTGTAAAAAAAATTGAAAAAACATAGCGCTTTCATTGTTTTAAGTTGCTGGCCTATGTCCTTTGACTGGGTTTTCTTTGTCTGATGGCCAGTTCCTGAACTCAAATTGGAAGGAATATGATATATGTGTCAGAGGTAATGGGAAGAGCTTACCAAAAGAGAGGAGGAGGACCATATCGCTGTCTATGACAGTGGGAACACGATGAGCAACAGTGATGACTGTGCAATTGCAAAATTCTTCTCTGATGATTTTCTGCAAAGTGGAATCTGTAGCTGAGTCAATGGAAGCCGTTGCCTCATCCAGAATTAAGATTCTGTTCCTCTTCAGAAGTACTCTTCCGAGGCAGAACAGTTGGCGTTGCCCCATGCTCCAGTTGTCACCCTCATCACTCACTGTTTTTTATATGACAACAAAAGCAAACCAAATAAGATCATGGGTACATGATGATGATGATTCACTGCATGAAATGCTCCCAACTAAATCTTGGATCATGGAAATCCAGACACATGCACAATCTTTATAATTTTAAATCACCTGAGGAATCTAGCCGGTGTGGAAGTCTGCTGATGGTATCCTTGAGCTGGCATTTCTCCAGAGCCTGAAAAACGAACTTTTAGGGTATTGTTTGGAGGGTAGTCAGAATAAACTCATGATTAGAATGATGGGAATTCACCCAAATCCAGTGCAGTGGGAAAGCCCCAAAGTATGAGAGAGGCATCATATCCCTCCAATTCCAGGAATTGAAGATTCTGAGGAATTAGTAAATTTTCCAAATCCAAACAATCACACACTTCCAGAGAATCCGAAGCCAGTCCAAATAAGACATATATAGTACATTTGGAGTAATGGAAACACACAACAATAAAATTTTGGTGATTGTCTAGACAAGTTTACCTTCCAAATTTCATCATCAGAGTAAAGGCCTAAAGGGTCCAAATTTGTTCGAACACTCCCTCTGAAAAGAGTAGGCTCTTGTGGGATGATGCTGAGTTTTAGCCTCAAATCTTTGAGGCCTATGGAGCAGATATCAAGACCATCAACAATGATTTTCCCACTGTAAGGCTCCACTAAGCGGAACAATGCACTGATCAGCGTTGTTTTCCCGCTTCCTGTCCTCCCTACAACTCCTACTCGTGTCTCTTCATTGAAGGTGCATGTTATTCCTTTGAGAACTAATGGAGCATTTACACGGTATCTTATCTGCATTCAAATAAGGTATTATGCTAATCTTCTGTGTCAATAATACTTTCTGAAACATTTTAGTTGGTTTAGAATATGGCGGCATTTACCTTCAGGTCTATGAATTGTATTCTACCCTTGGAAGGCCAAGAAGAGTTTGGCCTGTTATTTTCCAACACAGCTGGTGGCTCTGGAGCTAAATGCATAAATTGTTTTATCCTTTCAGCTGAGATAATGTAGTTAGCTAAGCTGCTATACCACCGGCTGAAATACACTTGAGTGCTTGTTAGTACCAAGGCATACGAGAAAGAGAGTCCCACGAGACCTGAACCATGAAAGGGGGCAAACCCTAGAACTTACAAGAGTATAATAAATGTACATATCCATAGATGATGCAGTTATAAAAGTGATCATAAGCCTTAGGGCATGTTTTGGACTTTGGATCACAGAAAATGCTAGGGGAAAGATAAAATGATAAGGACAACTGTTTTGTTTTGCTTTGCCCGGTAAAATGCATCTGAACTGAAACATGATTTTTTACTTATAAGTTTACTTTTAAAAAAATCATAGTCTATATGAGAAGGATAGACAATTAGACATAAGTAAATAAATGAAAGGAGTATCAATAAATTTCTAAAATGAATATATTGATATATAGCCCTTTTTAATTTTAATCTTTCCCTAGAATTATTCGGGGTCTAAAAGGACCCTTAGTACCTGAAGGGAGAAAACGCGATGGAACTGCAATTAGGAAGAAAGCAGCTACAAAAAGGGTGAGATTTTGGAGTATTTCCGTTCTCAAAACAAGCCACTCCATCGATCCATTTGAGCTGTAAAAGACTTTTGCGTCTGCATCAACTAGTTTCAGATAGTTGAGGAAAAACATGTCTGCCATATCGAATGCCCTTATTGTGGCAACTCCAAGTGATGTCTCGGCTGCATAACTCATTAATGGAGCCTTTGTTGTCCCATTGATCCGCATCAGTTCCCTTGCTGTGGGTTGATAGAATTCCTTCATCCATACAAATATGCCATCAGGAATAACATTTTTATAATCTGAGGGGAAGGGGATTATACATTAACACTCATAGTAGTCCCATGTTTTAGATGTTGGTTTCTATCCTTATACAATAGTAGACGTTGTTGAATATACTCATCTATTCCTAATTAACCCCTGCTTAAGCACTACGTTCTTCTTGGGCCCACTTAGGCTCTCCTTTTACCATATTGTTAAGATAAGACATCTGACCTGGATATATTTGGAGGCAACAGTAGCTATGATGCCTACAATGAGAACCTGCCATGTGACGGAGGCCATAATACCAATTGTTACAACCAATTCTATCCCGGCAGACATTGCATAAATATAGGTGTAAGGGATGTCATAGTCCAATACGCTCAGGTCTGAAGAAGCCTGAAGTGAGAGGGAACAAACAGAGACTTATTATCAGAAAAAAAAACCCAGCCCAAAATGTGTGCGTGTGTGTGTTGTGCATATATACATACATATGCATATATATATGTGTGTGTGTGTGTGTGTGAGAGAGACAGAGAGAGAGATAGGGAAATGCATATGCCTTCATCATCTTACACGAGTTAATATCCGTCCAACTGGGGTAGAGTCGAAGAAAAGCATGGGAGCCTTGAAAACAGAGTCTAAAAAACCAGAGAAAAAGGCTTTTGAAGCTTCGAGTCCAAGGAGGACTGCAAATAGGGATCTGAGATACGCAAGGATTGTACTTAGCAGATAAATCAAAGTAAAAACTCCAATGATCATAAGATGACTGAATTTGGGGCATTGAATGGAAACTGCTAGCCAATAGCTTGCTGTGGCCTGCAAAACCACGAAACCGGTCTGACCTACAATGTTTAGTATCATGTAAAGGGATCCATTGGAGACCAAAATGTAATCCATGAATATCTTCCACATAGATTCATTCGTCTCCCTCTCCTCATTTTCTGTTTTCTGAAGAGCCCCCCCTTCCATCAACAAAATCTGACCATTTTCTTCATTATCTAAAGAGTCCATTTTGACCTCTTCAAGCCCCCCGTCAGTTGTATGCTCTCTCTGAGGTCTATGATCAATCTTTTTCACCAGTGGATCAAATGCATTTATTGCACTTTCGTGAGCATTGACTAGCTGTTCAAAGGCCATCCCACTCATCAGAAGCTTATTATAGCATCCTGATTGACTAATTTCTCCTTCTTCCAGTACCTAGATATAGGAAACACCAGGTCAATTCAGGATTGGGTTCACATACGCCACATCCACCCTAAAAGATTGAATCAAACCAAAGGCCTTATAAACCCATATGCCTCTTTCTAATGTTTGGGCATGGGACTTTAACAGCAACTCACTGTTTACAACAATTATCATTAATTACCAGAATGTGATCAACGGCAGAGAGAAATTCTACTTGGTGAGTAACAAGAATGACAGTTTTCGTCTTCAATGCATTCATAACACATTCCTGCAATTACATTTAAGTGCAGTTAATAATCAAATAAGCATGTATGTTTATATGAGTTGGACTAGATTTCTTACATGGAAAAGAGATGAAGCAGTATGTGCATCAACAGCACTGAAAGGGTCATCTAGAAGATAAATGTCTGCGTCACTGTAAACTGCTCGAGCCAACTGAATTCTCTGCTTCTGTCCCCCACTCATATTAAGCCCTCTCTGCCCTATCTCTGTCAAGTCACCATAGCTGAAGCTATCGATGTCTTTTTCTAGAGCACACACTCTTATTGCCTCTTCATATCTTCCTTTGTCCATTGACTTCCCAAACAGTATGTTATCACGAACTGTCCCGCCCTGGATCCAGCAAGCTTGTGCCACATAAGCTATTGAGCCAAACACGTTCACCTGGATTCAATTTCAAGAAGGAAAAAAATGTCTGCTACATCAAGATATACTAGGGAAAGTTGTAGTTTTAGTCCCTTAATTCTTTGACATTTTAATTAAGATACAATCAGTCTCTCATGTTAAAACCACCATTTAGTATTAAGAGACCATTTTGGCAATACAGAATGCCAAGAGTGCTATCATAAATGCTAGGATTAAATTTTACAGAAATTGAAAGGCGTAGATCAGATCACAAACATGAGTTATTTTCTATGTAAACTACATTATTTGAGGTGTATAACTCACAGTTCCTGAAACTTTAGGTATTTCTCCAAGTATAGCATTGAGAAATGATGACTTTCCTGCTCCAACAGATCCACAGACTGCAATTTTCTGACCCCTTCTCACTTGAACATTTATGTTTCTAAGTAAGGGTTCTGATTCCCAGCTGAAGCAGCCATTCACTACACTGACAATATTTTCTGAGTGTCCAACAGGAGATCGTGTAACATCCTCTCTTTTAATCTCATCTTCTAACAGG